GGGAACAGGGGGAACCAACCAACCCACCCAAATCATATGGCACTTTTGGCTAGTACTTCATATGGAATCACACAAGATGGCAGCATCAGAACAAGATGGTTTTCCATACTTAAAATTTTTATTTGAAGATTACAATTTTCCAGTTGGATTTCTGTTCTGTAAATGTATTTGTCCTAGAGGACAAAGAGAATTCTACACTGAGACTCTGCAACATCTGCTGGTGGGGGAGAAAAGCATTTAAGATTATGTAGAAGAAAATGTAGTAGCCTAAATGTTGCATATTTTTTTAGATATCTGGTTCCTGGCATCTGGATAGGTGTGTTATGCACCTAAGTACTCCACACACAGTGCATGGAGAGAGTTATATAGCATCATATGCTATTTGAAACAATCCATATACTAAACAGAGACTTCCAAGAAATTGGCTAGTAAGTTGTCTGAAATACAGTTCTGTTTAAGAGCATACGTGGTTTACTCTGAGTTACATTTATAACTTCAATGTGAAGGAGGGCATCTCCCCTTGTCCTGCCTAGCTTAGATCTTAGTGTTACCATACTTTGTGGGAGGTATGAATTTCAGTGCTATGGCAGTTCTCTCAACTGCATCTATATTTCTTAATTCTTGGAAGATATTCTAACCAAGAAGTTGTTATGCAAAAGGTAATGTCTTCTCCAGTAAGAAATTGCACACAACTGACTTACCTATCAATTTTTGTGTCACTGGTCTTAGGGATAAGTCAGGTCACAATATGCTCAGATTTAGGTAGCTATCGATATGGACTAAATGAGAACTCTGGGTGCCTGCAGGAATTAAGCACAATTATGAGAAGCTCTCTATTTAAGGCTAGATGTTGCCCATTTGGTTGCATCAGTCTCCCTTCAGTCTACCTGAGCTGGCAATATGGATCCAGTCTTCAGCTGTCTCTTAATTATCTGCTGTGCAAGTATTAAAGCAGAATATAGATTGTATTCAACATAAAACATGGTAGGTTATTCAGCACTAGATACAGCAATTTACAAATATTGGGAAAGATACTTTCATCACATTGCGACATGGTTTTCATGGAATTAATTTTTTAAATACTGCAGTATACGAGTGAAGGGTGGATCCTAGGCAAGATTTTAGAAAGCAGCTGGTAAAGATGGGAAAGAGGTCTAGAAATTGCACTTAAGAGGGAACATTGCATCAATCAAAGCTAAGGATTGTTTAGAGGTAGCTTACCTTTACATTGAAAACTTGGGAGTTATGGATCAGTTTTGTTAACTGGAAAGCGTCCATAATATACCTTGCATTAGAGTATTTATTAGTGGTGTGAATTTGTTTGCCCAAAATGCAATTTCAAAGTAGTTTTTTTAACATTTATTTAAAAATTTAAGCAGGATTTGTGTGTTGAAAAGCCATTTTATTTCAAGTTTTTCTGTAGAGAAGGTTTTGACCCTTCCAGCAGGGTCAATTTCTCTTTGAAATGGAGACATACTCAAATCTTTCTGGAGTTTTGTGTTCAGACCTATTTATGCCATTCTATTTGTCAAGAAAACCCAAAGCTCAAGTTTGTTGTTTTATTTTTTTCTTTTAGCAAGAAAAATTGTTGACCTTAAACTGGTTTTGTTCCAACTCTGAAAATTCAGTTATTGTTGAAGCATAGGTGAATATATTTGTGCTCTAACAGGATAACAATTTTTTCAAATTATGAGAATTTTTCCTAAAAAATCTGACATCGAAACAAATCTTTACTGTAGTTGTGATGGTTTAAACGATACTCCCCTGCCCCATGTTCTAGAAGCAGTGATTTACATGTTTCCTGTAAGCAATGACTTCCTGCTGCCCAACAATTCCTCCTTCCTCCCATCCTTTCTCACACCATATGCAGTAGATGCATTTACTCTGAGATAGTCTGTGAAGAACAACTTACACAATTTTAAAACATTTGGTTTTTGTCTTTCAAGATTGTTGCTTCTATTTCAGCCCTGAGAAAGGGTTTTTGTGTTTGAAGGCTTGTCTGTCTTTTTCCAGCTCTGTTTTTTTTTTTTTTTTTTTCTCTAATAAAAGGTATTACCTGTCCCTATGATCCTTGCTTCATTTAGAGTTTGGAAATGGATAGAATACAACCTGGCAAATACTAAATTCTATTTCCTATTAAGCTGACATCTATTTAAGATAGAGAATATATGCTGAAGAGGAAGAAATTTAATTACAAAGCAGTAAGATCAATATTCAGCATGCTTACATGTCTCCTGAGTTTAAATAAAAAATTTGGAACATCTTCCTGAGATTAGTAGAATAGCTGTCTTCAGCATATTTCCAGGAAAAAGACACTTCATGACTTTTTTTTTGAAAGGCAAACTGACCAGCCTAGCTCATAAAGGCTATACTTTGCATTAAATTCACCTCTGCAGTGATTTTCATCCCAAGGGTATGCACAGTTTTGAATGCCGTTGCAGACTAAAGAATTATTGATGCACATGTTGCTATGGCAGAAGTAAGTGTTGCCTGAGCAGGGAGCTGCAGGAGAGAAGAGAAAGAAAACATTATGAATTTTCAGTAACTAATGCATTGCAATAAAACTAGTAAATTCCTATTATTTTAACATGCATACTCATTCTTTATCTTTCAAACACAATCACTTTTCTTGCACATCAGTAATTATTGGATGATTTACTCTCTCTTCGTGTAATGCTTTCAGGTGCATTATCAATAATAAAATCAATAAAAAATATTTCTTGCTCAAAATGGGTAGCACACAGAAAGAAGTCACACAACACAGATAATGGAAGAAAGCGTTAATACTTGTCTTTAAAAACTTAAAGATCGCATGCTCACTATCAATTATATATTTATTCAATCTGCTGTGCATCTGCTATGTAAATGTTGTGAAACAGTTCCTGAACAGCTGCATTTTAGAGCCCATTAATATCTTAAGGCAAATCAGATTTCAGCTTGTGGAGGACTGTTTCAGTAATTGCAAGAGACTTCAGTAACTGGAGGCATCTAAGTCATTCCTTCTTAAAAAAAAAGCTCTTAGATCCTCCTATTAGCTCTAATGCAGGGATTGAGAGGGTACAGTTTAGCTTTTTATCTGTCTATATATAGTTAGAAATTTGATCAAATTAACTAGAAAGTTGCCCAAAGATTTTATGTTTCCGTGAATGTTTGCTATAGTGCCTTGACATTAAAAAAAATATATTTAAAAATAGTAATAATTCTTTTCAGGATGTTGTATAATATACATAGGGAATTCCTTATGAATTCAGGGCACTGGACAAGAAATTGATTTTCCTTTTCTCTATCTCAGTAATGTGGTATTTTTATGATAGAAATGTCTATTAGTGGAGTCATATATTAAACAGAAAAGGTGTGTGATAGACATTTTACTATTTGGTTTCATAGAAAGAATTTATTCTTGAGCAGTCTGGATTCTCTGAAACATAATGTGAAACCCAAAGGGTACAGCAGAGGAGGGTGACTAGTCCTGAATAGAGTGTGTTTCTCACTTATCCCTTCTGTTAGGCTTTGGAGTCTCAATGACAAAAGGAGTTATGTCTAAAAGAAAGGAAAATTCAAACCTTTAATTCTGAATTTGCATTCCCTAAATCTGTGTTGTCTTCCCGTTTCTTACGCCACTGAGATTTGGTAACCTATGCTCATTGGTTTTAAGTTTTTTGTATTAGCCTTATGTTATTGCTTAAGCCCTGGCAACCTGGCAAGAAGTTCCATATGGGAAGCTTGTGCTTTAATTGTAGCACAAGTGCTGTAGTACTTTAATGCAATACAGAATCTATTTAGAGTGTATTTTGGAAGAGTTTATCGATGTAATTTCAGTGTTTAAAAATGTCATGGTAGCTATCGCATGTATCTTCCTCAACTGAGTTGAGAATTTAATTGTTTAATTTGTTTGGAAAGTAGATTTAGTCTGAAGAACACTGCTTTAAAATATGATCAATGCTTAGGAAGGTATAGATCATGCCCATTATATCAGTTATGAATGAGATGTCATTTTAGGTGCAAGCAGGGTCAGGTGGCCTGAGAGGAATACATTATTCTGTAAGCATCATATGAAATCATGATATATTGCGATATAAGCAGCATCCAAAATTATGCTGCAATTAAATTCTAAAGGGATTCACACTTTCTCCCTGCAGGACTACATGATGATAAGCTAAAACATACGCAAAAGTATCAATCTAAATATGAAAACAGGTATCCCGGATAACCTAAAGCAATTCATAGAAACAGGAAGATGTAGTCAGTGTTTCTAACCATTATACATATATAATGGGAGAAAGGCTAATAGTTAAAATGGAAATGTTCATGATGTGGACCACAAAATAAAAGGCTCTTAGCCTTATTAGCATATGTGGGGAGAAGAGACTTAGGTAATTTTTCCTTCTGAATTTGGAAAGAAAGATTGTGCAAGCTTTATTTTATAAAGGATAAACAGGATCATTGTTTAAACAGAATAACTTAAAAAGGCTATGTATGTAATAGGCTACAATATCTACTAAAATATTTCTGACTGAGATAAAGGAGGATCTACGAAATTCATATCCAGAGTGTTTGTCATGGATGCATGTGTATCTGCTGGTGTTTCAATATAGATCTGTATGGAGCTGTAGTTCTTTTGGAGGCACAGAGGAAGAATTATGATGTAAGACACAGTGCCTTTCTTACTTCCCTCAACAGGGGAACTTTTTCATGTTTGTGTATTTTTTGTATGATGCGTTCTGCTGCTTCTCCATCCACCAGCACAATCTCTATTTTACATTCCTGTGTAGTCTCTAACATTTTTGGAGGATGGTTTTTGTTCACAAGTTCATAAAGACAGGACGAATAGACTTATTTTTGTTTGTTATTTGGGGAGCACTAAGTCTTAAAGTCACCACAATTGATTGGTTCCAGTCCACAACTTCAAGGACATAGCTGGACTCTTCTCATAACAGCTGCCTAATACTGGTGCAATGTTCAGTGTTCTTTGTATCTAGCATTATTCATGTATTGAATCAAGCCAGAAATCAAATACATTGATTGTATAACATTGCTGTTAGCCGAATTACTTAGTCAAATCTGCAAGCAGCACTAGATGTGTGCTAGCTGACTGCCACGCACAATTACTTCACTTATGTAAATCTTTTCAGAAATATTGACTGTTTTCATGGTTGGCTTCATATAATTACAAATCATTAGTAAGGTAGAAGAGAAAAATAGCTTAATGATCTGAAAATAAGATAGACACGGATTAACTTTTTTCAGTTAGAAAAACTGCTTATCATTATTTAAAAATACATGAAACACTTCAGAAACATACTTTTCAATTACCCTATCCAAGAAAGACAGTACCGCACTTTAGAAGATAAATAAGAATAACCACATACCTTTGCAGTTTTTCTTTTGCCAACGACTTTTGAATTGCTTTAAAATCATAAGTTTGGAAAGTTATCTAGCTTTAGGAGTCATCACTGTTTCAACCTCCTGCACTCAAAAAAAAAAAAAAAACCCAACAAAAAAACCCCCCAAAACCCACACTCAACCAAAAAACCCCCAAACACTCCAATATTTATAATATAAATAGATAATTTCCCTGGCAAAGTTAATAGCATTTTCCAGATTGAAACCTGGAATAACTTGCACTACCACTAATATCAATAATTGTATTGAAGTAAAAGTTATTGGAAAAGTAGTTATAAATTTTGCAAGTTGAGTTTAAAACTGATATTCACAATATCTAAAGTCTATGAAGTCCCTATTATAGGTTAAACAATAGACTAGTTTGAAACATGCAATTGTTTATTATTACCATGTATGCAAAGTAATCAATAAGCTATTTCTCTTACGTTTCTGCTACTTTAGAAAGATTATTTTACAGAAAGTAACTTTTTTCCTGTGTTAAACTTCACTGTTTTATGGAACAGAATATAAAATCTACTTGTTACCTGTAAACTGAACACTCTTGCAAGTGACCAGGATACCTTTCAGGACTGGCTACAGACATGTTAGTTCTTTGACAGCAAATGTGTATCATTTATTCTTCAAACAGAATTTTTTGCAAGCCTTTAGCACAAGCATAGGTCTGATTTCCTGAAATGGCAGATATGTTTTATTCAGCTCTCTCTATGTATCTCATATCTGCTCTGCAGTTCTAAACTCAGCCTACTTTAGTGCTGAAGATGCCACTTTTTTTCAGGTTCTGCAATGTGGACAATGTCATCCTTTGTAAATATGAGGCAACAACATTCAATTAAGTTCAGAGAGAAAGCAATTAGAAGAAAATCTCACAAAAGGCATGCTTTCAAGAAACATCTTAATTTGCAATGAGCATAAAGACTATCTCTAACCCAAGTTATGGAATCCAAACAGAAATCCAGATTACATTTACAGCTCTGCTTTGAATATAGCCTTCTTAAATAAATTTGAATTAACTGCTTTTCCATGGTTGTGCAACACAACTGGGCTTTGCTAAGGGAGCATGTTTGGGATCATTTGGAGCCATGTGCAGCTGAGAAGAAGGTAGCAGCTTAAAGCATAGCTGGAGTGGGTGTAGTTCCAGATCTGAAATTGGAGGTAAAGCTGTGGATAGGAAGAAGATTCAGACTCTGCAGGGTCACATGTGTTTTCCAGCCTTCTGAACATCCACTTTGGGCTTGAGAAGAGTCTGTTGTGGTGTCTGGCAGAGAACTGGAAGATGGGGGCTAGCAGGAGAGCACACTTCAGTCCCATTGCTGTCTTTTTTTAAGTAAGCCTCTGCTCATTTGCAGAACTCTGTGAGAAGGACATAGCCTAGGGCTGTATTATTACTGAATTGAAATGAAAAATAAACCTTTTAAGAATGGAGGAAAGCCTTTCTTCAGGAACCATGCTTATAACTGTAATAAAGCAAGTATTTAATTTACCTGCTAGTATGTGATGGAAACGGAAACAACCTTTCTCATGTGTTCCTGCTGCATAATATACAGCTGATGCTTTTCCTAAAATACCTGAAGTACCTTGATGCCAGTAGAATAGGCACTTTGAAATCTACTTACGATCCACAAATGAAGTGAACAGCATTCTGAATCTGCTTAGTCTACTGCCTTCATCTGCCCACATTCGTACCACACCGGTCCCAGTCTGCAGCATGACATCGTTTGCTACGGTGCTGCAAAACTTTGCCTTCAGGTTTTCAATAGAACTACTGCCATCATATACAGCAACAAAGTTTCTTTTGCATTCATTTGAATGCTCCATTTGATAGTCGAGAAATCGCAAATAAATCTGTTAGAAAAAAGAAATGAATGTCTCTAGGAAAAGTAATACAGAGAAGACAGTTTTCTTTCTTAGCAAATCTTGAATAAGATGTTTTGTCCCTTTACACATGTGTAACTCCCAATTCACAACACTTTCAAACTTACATTTTCTCATTAAATGCCAACGTGGAGTATTACTCAAAATCTGTCTTAAGTATCTGTTTCACTTCTCCTCTCTGCCCAAAGCAATCTTTACTTAATAATTTTCTCTGATATATTTCTGCTCCACTTGGAAAAAAAAAATAGAAGTGACACACTTGCTGAAGAAAGCCCTAAGCAGCTCTGCTATATGTGCAGTCTGTTAGTCTAGAAGAGATACAAGAAATGCATAAATCTGCTGAAAGAATTTTAATGGTATTTCGACTGATTTCTTTTTAATTCATAAAAACAATGTTAATATATAAG